CTGCCAACACAGTTCATTAATATAATATGTAACTACAATTTGATGACAGAGGCACCTCTTTCCTCTGCAGCTTTCCTTTGAATGGTCTTCAATCGCCATGCAAGGTATCCTGAACCACTCTCTGGGTCGCATAATGTTCCTGCATAATTAAATACACAAAGACTGATTATGATGTCAACATTTCTAAATGCAATTATGTGTTAAATGTTGTTAGAACCCTTTTACTTGCATATCTATGTTGTGAATATGGGTCTTCCAGATATGGAAACAGAGCAACTATCCCCTGAGCGTACATCACTTTGACACTTTTGGGGGGGATGTCCTAATGTATGAATTCAATGATGACAATCACTCAATCGGACGCAATTTAAAAACAATCCAAATAAAAACAATGTTTCTTTATAGTCTACATGTATGAACCTTGCCCATGTGTTTGTGTCATCTCAGCCTCAAGTATGTTTATCATTTGTCTTCTGGTGGCATCATTTAGTTTTGCATACTCTTGCATGATGTGTTAACCACTGGGCTTTGTTGTAAGGAATTTTTCAATTAACTTAAATGGAAACAAAACATGCAGTCAGAAATTTTTAAACCATATGTACAACTGGAAAATTCTAAAATAAAAACACGAAATCCATTTTAGACTTAACAATGTTCACGACCCACCACTTTTGCCTCACAGTTTACGTGGCAGCAGATGCTTCTTCAAGAGGGTCACACATTGTGAAGTTCAGAATGAAAGTATCTTCAGATATTGCTGAGCATGATGATGATGATGATGACAGAGAACCATCTGTGCATTAGGGAAACAAACAAAACAGAAGCATATTAAATGGTCAGTGATTACCAACTTCTTCATTGATCAGCATGACTCGGAGGGTTCCAGGTGACTCCTTCACTATATCTTCAAAGACCTCTCTGTCAACTTCTGTGTCAGATTGGTCTAACACCTTTAAATGCTGCTGCCTGCCTTCTGGTATGTTAAATTTTAGGTACACTGAAGTAAAGGAAGGAAAAGGAAAGGGATATTACACAAATTGTAACAAAACTTGAAAGACCATTTCCTTCTGATGAGAATGAAAATGTCAACTAAGGAGAGTAGGCCTCATGTTTTCACAAAATGCTATTGTGTTGAAAGAAGTCAATAGGTCATTCCCATCCATTTTAAGGCACGGCAGAAACAATTACCAACTCAGATAATTAAGAAGGAATTGGATCCGCTGGCAGAGGAAGAAGCTGGCCAGACCTGGCAGGCCTAAGCATATCGTGAGGGTCTGTTGGGAACGTCTGGCGGAACCTTCTGTCAGCAGGGTCTTCAACTCCCACCTCCAGGAGAGCTTCTCCCAGATCCCGAGGGAGGCTGGAGACATGGAGGCTGAGTGGTCCATGTTCTCCTCCTCCATCGTGGTGATATATGCTTCAGAATTATTAGCGATTAAGATTAGCATACTAATAAACAATAAAATATAACTTTGCCATAAGGCAGGCAGCGTGTGTCCAAGTGTCACCGGCATTTAGAAAAACTACGTTGTTGACATGTTCCATAGTGCATGTGCACTTGAACTCAATGAGAACTTGTCAGACTTTTGAACTGCGAGCAAGTTAGTTGCTTGTTGCATGTATGTAGCATTTAGCGACTGACAAAGAGATAGATGTTGACAAAACGTCTTCAATCGTCATCTATTAAACTTTAAAACCGTGTTTAGTTGTAAAACAATTATTAATCAATGTTGTAGACAGGAAAATTAATGTTACTTAAGCGTCGGTCACAAGTGGAAGCACAACTTTTGGGGTCCTCTGCGAATTTTGGATGCCGTGGAGGTCGTAGAGGTAGAGGATAGATTGCCAGGGCTCTGTCAGAAAGGTGCAAGTCTGCCTTGCAAGTCGCAGGGGCGACGTGAGATGTCCGTTCAAGCATGGACGCTTATTGCAACGTGCGATTGCTGTGGAAATTGTGCTCACTTCTTGAGTTTGTCTTGCCACTTGTGAACATGGTATGCATTCACCACTGGTAGGAGAGAATGGAACATAAGGCCAAAGTAAGTCACACTTGCCTCACGTGCTCGTGATGATGTACTGATAGCATACGTCAGTTTGGCATGATTTTCAAAAAACATAACAAAACAAAAACAAAACACGGACACTTCAACGATATTACATTGTAATATTGTGTTCTCCTTCCTTTCTCCCTCACTCATATTCACTGCATTGCTTATTTTGTGTTTGTCTTAATGTGTGTTATTGTTTTGTCATAATTAGTAGCAGTTCTTGTGTTGTTAATTAATAAGTGTTAGTTTAATTAATGTACATAAATATAAGTTAAGTGTCTCCACTGTTTTGTTGTTCACATGTTGGTCCCTATCTTGTATTGTTGCCAGCTACTGAGCTTTTTTAACTAAGCTTCAATTTAAATAATATCCCAGATCATTCCTTAAGTTCTTCTCAACAGCACAACTGCATTGTTACAGTAATAGGATCTGAGTACTTCGATGGCCAAATATCAGTTAGATAGTGTAATAGTTCTACATAAGCATTCAAACCTCATTTGAGCAAACATTCACCCTACACATGTTTTATTTCTTGATGTTTTAATTACAGCAACTACTACTACCACTGCAACAGCGTATCTGTGCTGTAAACATCTGAAATCCCGTTCATGTTTTCTCCCTGAGTAAACTATTCAACAGCATACAGTGACTCTCTGCTGTCTGATAGGACCCTGTAGTGGTCAGACAGGTAGCTGCTAATTGATTGAAAAGTAAAGTGCAAAATATATTAGGATTAAAAATGTACCAAAGTGAAGAATGCACCATAACGTGTCAAAAACTAACAATTAAAATATACAGTGAAGGAGGAATTTAAAGAAACATACCCAGTGACCCGTAATCTCTGAATGAGTGCTTTTAAACCCAAATATAACCACTGTATACTGTAGGAAATGGTAAGGTGTAAGAAATGCAGAGGTGCAGTCAGTGGGATTTTCCACTATTCACTAAGAAAGTTTAGTGTACTCATATAAGCAAAAGAACCATGTAGTCAATGGTTATTATTTTGCTTATAGTAAGGGGAAAATATCAAAATGTGCCAACTAAATTGTTACCAAACAATTTCTTCACCAATATGTTTTTAAAGGTGTGTAATAACATGCTTTGAAATGTTGAAGGTCAACTCCCTGTGGGAAACCCTGAAAAAAACCCTGATCAGGTTAGGATACCGATAAATGATTGACAAAAAATCAGTTTTTTAAAAATCAGGCCTTGTGCAAGGGACATGGATGAGTACATGGACATCTTCCTTGACACAGAAGCCAACAAGGAGGCAGCGATTCAGGCTGGTACTGTGATGTTCCAGTACATTTATCATGGAGCAGATACTGCTTAGGGTGAAATTTGGTACAACATGTTCTCAAGGAGGGCTGCAAGGTGGCGCAGTTGGTAGCACTGTTGCCTCGCAGCAAGATGCCGGTTCGCGTCCCAGTGGGGGCACCGGAATCTTTCTGCGTGGAGTTTGCATGTTCTCCCCGTGCAGCGTGGGTTCTCTCCAGCTTCCTCCCACAGTCCAGAAACATGTTGTGGTTAATTGGTGATTCTAAATTGTCCGTAGGTGTGAATGTGAGTGTGCTTGGTTGTCTGTCTCTAAGTGTGGCCCTGCGATGGACTGGCGACCTGTCCAGGGTGTCACCTGCCTTCGCCCTAAGTCGGCTGGGATAGGTTCCAGCCCCCCCGCGACCCTAATGAGGATTAAGGTGTATAGAAAATGGATGGATGGATGTTCTCAAGGAGGCATGGTGGTTAACGGCATCGCCTCGCAGTTCGAAGGTTGCCGGTTCTTTCTGCGTAGAGTCTCCATGTTCTCCCCGTGCAGCGTGGGTTCTCTCTGGGTTCTCCAGCTTCCTCCCACAGTCCAGAAACATGTTGTCTGTCTCTAAGTATAGCCTTGTGATAGACTGGGGACCTGGCCAGGGTGTCTCCTGCCTTCACCCTGGGTCAGCTGGGCCCCCTGCGACCCTAGTGAGGATTAAGGTGTATAGAGAATGCATGGATGGATGTTCTCAAGGAAGGCGGCGTCAGGAGTAGACTCTACCTCTAACAGAGGGTGCAGCTGCACAGCATTCACTCTGTGCCTACCTGCAGACCAGGTCTGGATCCTTCTGCAGAGCATGTCTCTGAACCCCTGTGACTATGGATGGACATTAGGTGTACATGGTATGAACCAGTTCCAACACTTAACCCCATGGCTCCTGAGGAGCTGCTGAATTTCACAAGCTGTAATTATCATGGAGATTGCAGCAACTGGCGGTGCAGCTGCAAGAAGAATGGGGTCACATGCATCTGGACCTGTGGAATCTGTAAAGACATTACATGCAGAAACTGCAGTCATGATGTATTATATAAATCGATTTTTCAACAATCGTTTATCGGTACCCGAACTTGAGCAATTTTTTTCAGGGTTTTCCACGGGAGTTGAAGTTCAACATTTCAAAGCATGTTATTACACACATTTAGAAACATGTTGGTGAAGACATTGTTTGGTAACAATTAAGTTGGCAGATGTGTGAAATTTCTCATAAAAAGCCCTTACTATTATATGAATTTACCTAGCAAGTTTTAACAATAAGTTTATGACTTTACAGTAAAATACAAATTAATTAAGAATTAAGAACGTTATCTATTCTAAAAAAAATCAGTGACTAGTTTACAAAATCATACATTGAAAACCACACATATCCAAAGGTTCCCTTTGAGTAAGGATATTGGTGATAGCAGAGAAGAAAAAAATTCTTTTAACAGAGAAAATCTCTACCAGAACCAGGCTCAGGGAAGGCGACCGGTTATTTGTCGCAATTTAAATTCAGGAAACAGGATTTCCACAATGACGAGCGAAGCAGCTACACGCCCGAGCCGAGCCTATGATTTGCCTTTAGTCTATCCGGGCTTCCGTAGTGTTATAATTTTACCCGGAAAAACTCCTTCGTCCATGTGACGTCAGTCAGTGCCCTAAAAATGGCGGAGTCGGAGGAGGAGGTGGACGTCTTGGTCCAAAGAGTTGTCAAAGACATCGCCAACGCATTTAAGAGGAACCCCAACATGTGAGTATGGTTGACTGTGAATGTAGCAGAAAGAGTGAAGCGGCACTTCTCACGTCCAGCGGAACCGAAGCCAAGCAGCAGCTCCAAGCAGATTTTCGGCTTGGGCTCGGACTATTACCTGGAAATCAGAGCGTCCAGACAAAGTTTATGGCTTAGCCAGCTAGCTAAGCTGTTTGTTTTGTTAAATTTCTAGACGTAAGGTTTTTGAAGACTAATTCCAGAGAATACTGTTTCTTTGTTACATAACCAAAATATGGTACAACGGCCTTTGACTTCATTCATTTAGCTCGCTAAATTTTTGACACGGTATCTAAGATAGCTGTCATAACCACACGGACCAGTAACGTTAGCGCTGTAATAGTGGGATTAAATCAGTTTTGTCATGCATAAGTGCATTTCCATTTGAAATCTTGGTTGCTATTATTTTTGAAGGCGTTCGTGCTACAAGGTACATAGGCTCTCAGACTTAGCCCTCTGCTCACCTGTTAGCTTTTCATCTGCATAATTGTAAATTCCAACTTCAGCAGTACTTTGAGTTATAAAAGTTCATCTGTTGAGAGCAGGGTCAGAAACACAGTAAGTGGACCCTTTTCAGACATGGAATACACAACACTGCTGGTTCATCAGTCTGTTAAAGTCATAGTGTTCTGTCATTTAGACAGTGGTCACTATGATGTTCATGTTTCTTACAGCATAATGGACAGCACATCAAGTAATATATTGCATAATAAAACAACAAATAAACAAAAGAGCAAATAAAAATAAGAAATAAATAATCATGGCTTAATCGATGACGTTGGTGTTAAGGGTTGCATGTTTTTTTTTTTTTTACTCAAGTACTTTAGAACAAATGTTAAGTATCAGCAAGTATTTGCTGTGTTGTGCTGTTATTGGCTCTCAGTCATTACTCAGCTGCAGTCAGTGGTAGAATTTTAGACGATGGCAGCAGCAGAGTCCAGCTTGGTTAAATGTAAATGTTTCCGAATACCCAAAACAACAACAGTCTGGGAGTACTTAAAGTGACTGCTGAACAAAAAAAGTGGTTTGTATAGTCTTCAGAAGTTTGAAGGCAGAGGACGATCCCTAAACACTTGAAGACAAACCAACAGGCGTTTTACTTTTTTTTTTTTTTAATTCACTCCTGCCCCCTGTGCTCACAGCCCCCCAGTAAAGCTGTTCTAATGTATATATTTTTCTGTTTCTGCCGTCAGAACTGCCGTGAAAGAGTGACTGAAACACAGCTTGTTAAGGCTCTATGCTACCAAGCTGTTGCTCTGCATTTCTGAAACACATCTGTAAGCTTCACATCGTCTGAGAAAGTTACTATACACAGAAGCTAGAGACAAAATTTTGACACTGATCTGATATTTGGGACAAAAATCCTACAATTTTACTTGATTGGACAGAATTCTACAAGCTGTCCAAGACAGCATGAAGTAGCACAGAATACATGTAAGTGGCATGCAGACATCAATACCAATTCAGCTTAATTAACATATCAATTTACACATAATGCCGTTGATCTGATGTGTTTTACAGCACAGCTAGAGGAAAACTGAACAAAAGTGCACTCATCATATTCTCAGGACAATTTACATTCGGGCTACCTCTAACAGCTGTTTTTCTATTGATTAATCTGGTGGCTATTTTACCAATTAGTTGATTATTCTAAACAATTTCCTGCAAAAAGAGGAACATGACCGTTTTGTTTAAGTTTGTTTTATTTTGACAAACCTTATGTCATTGCATAATGCAGCACAGTGCAACGTGGAAATAAAAAAAAAAATCATATTAAAGTGCAAAGCTGGAGTGTTAAACTGGAAACCAACATGATTAAAAATAAATAAATAAATTAGACAAAAAAGAAGGCTGTTTTTTTTTAGGTCAAAGTTGTAGCTCTAAAATAAATACAATTTTATATCAAACCCCTTCATAAGCTGAAAATATTAGTCTTTATTTTAGCCCCCTAGCCCAACCAGTGTCTGGTAGTTTTTTGCGCCTGTCACATTTTTGCTGACCACCAGTTCATTTATAACTTGGTATTTGGTGCGGTATGACAAACATACAGTGCCATGAATCATTAAATAGAAAGGTTTTTTTTGTACAGAATTTGGCTAGGGCAAATGGTGTATTTTTGGCAGATTCATTAATTAGATGTCAACGAATGGGATTTTAATTTAATAACCAGATTTTTTTTTTTTTTTTTTAAAGCTTAGTTTGTTTTCCTTATTCAACCGAGCAAGAATTCTTGTTTTAATTATTGTTATTGTCACCCTCACCAACACAAGGTCACCCACAGTATGCAGAGACAACAAAGGCTTCAGAGAAAATACCAGAGTTGTTGAGTTAGGAGAGTGTTAGAGGCTATGGAGTAACAATGAGATTTCAGTTTATTTGTGAAAATCTCACTAGACGGGGAAAACGAATGGTAGGAAGAAGGGAAATGTAGTGTTTTGGGACAGCTATACAGAAACACCCTGTCCTGGATCCAGGGCCGGAGTGGGACTCATTTTCAGCCCTGGAGTTTCTTGCCTCAGACCGGCCCACTTTAGATCACAATCTATTATTACTGAAATCATGTAATTATAACCTTACATGTTAAGTCTACAATAGCGCACTGTTCTGTAAAGCCTTGTAATTCAGTGTATTTTTCGAAAATATTTCCAATACAGTGCAAGTAAGGGTTGCTTCACAATGTATTTGTTTCAACATGAGTGCACATCGCCAACATTATGCTTTACAACACATCCTTTTCAACAATATCAGAATCTATATTCTGTTCAAATAAGTGTTCACAGATATTCAAGCCTTAAAAATGAAATTAAAAGAATAAATAAAAATATTACATTTAAAAAAATCCAATATCTACATCCATCCATTATCTATACACCGTTTTATTGTCACGAGGGTTGCGGGAGGCTGGAGCCTATCCCAGCTGACTCAGGGCACCTCTCAGCTCACTTTTCATATAGAGCAGGTCTGCACCATGCTCATCATTATATTTATTCTAATAATCACTCAATAAGCAGTCCTACCTGCCCACTCTGGACTTGTGGGCTCATGGCTGGTGCTTGCTGCTGGGTCTTGCTTCTGACTCTACGGGGCTACAAGACAAAGTTTCCCAGTTTTGTGGCGTCGCATCACACTCTTATTTAATTTATATAACGTTATGTTATATGCCACAATGCCATACAGTTCATTGACTTGATAATTAATTAACTTGAACGGTGGTTTGTAGGCAAAGTTCAACATCTTACCGTACCCGTTTCATTGTCCTCATTTGTCGTTTCAAACTGCAAACTCATTTTAGTGAAGAAAACTGCCAATTTTAACACATTTGGTTGTGTCTGTTTCCAGAGCTTTCCTCTTTTTAATTCTTGACTTCTCTGCACAACCCTTCCTCTTTCTATTTTCCATCTTTCAAACACCACTGACCAAGTGCACAGACTTGTTACATCAGGGTGTGTCTGCAAAAAAAAAAAAAAAAAAAAGAGCTGCCAGTGGAGGCAGAGGCAGCCCAGGGACAGCATGCGTGATCAACCCAGTGCCGACTGAACACTGGCCCCCCAAAAATAAATAAATAAACTAACACCGGCCTTCGCGGCCCAAACGTCAGACCAGCCCACGGGGAATAGTCCCGGTCCTCCCGATTAGCCACTCTGGGCCTGCCTGGATCTCAGATAAGACAGATGTCTTTGGTCAGTATTTCTGTAATAAGGAGACCAGACTTCTGTAATTGGCGAAGCAAGATCCATATTTAAAATTCAAAACTATAGTTTTATATTTTATTTTTAATATAAAGTTGCATTAAGGCAGGAGTATCTGAAGGCATGGTTGACTTTCTCTGGTTGATTTGTTGGTCAAATTACAATGAGCTTAATCATGGTCAACTTAATTATTTTTTTTATTCAACAAGAATTTACATAAGAAGACACTTTTTTCATACTGAAGTAAAAACAGATTTCTCAAAAGAAAATTTCCATTCATGAAAAATATCAAACATAAAATGGGAGATAGTATAAGTTTAAAGTGACCCGGCTAATTCAACACATTTGCAGCCTGTTGGTGCTTGAAGTCACACATCTAGTAAAAGCGTTATCATCTGAGTGCAGGAAATGTGTCTCAAGTGATTGTAGTATGAAAACACCCGTATGTGGAAAAGTCACTAAATAGGATGGGATAAATTCCAAGTTGGTTGAATGCTTTACGGTATGCACTTGGCTTTGGCCTCCTCTGATTGGTGAGCATGACTGTCACAAAAGGAGGACAGCATGAATTTGTAGAACACAACAGTTGAAAACCCTGGATCAGGCGCACTGCATAATGTATACACTAAATTGCACCTTTTTGGATTTGCTAATTGTATTTTTTTCAAATCACTAATTTTTTCAGAAATCAATTAGTTGTTCAATCCTAAAGCAGCAAGTTCTAATGGTTCAGACACTCAGTTTTTTGATCAGTCTTTAATAAAAAGTCAAGTTATTCCTGAGAATGTGACTTTATCCTAAGGTAGCCACATGTGTTTTCAGAACGATTTTTCGATGTCCATATAAAGCAAATTAAACCTACTCTCAGTCCTCATTCTCTCTGTCTGTTCCCTTAGTGATGAGATTGGTGTGATTCCATGTCCAGAGGCCCGCTACAACCGCAGTCCCATTGTGTTGGTGGAAAACAAGCTGGGTGTTGAGAGCTGGTGTGTCAAGTTTCTGCTGCCATATGTCCACAACAAGTTGCTGCTCTACCGCCAACGCAAACACTGGTTAGACAGGGAAGGTAACGCAATATCTACATTAGTAAATTCATTTCAGGAGGCTGGGTACATTTGTTTTTTATTTGGATTTTATTTGCTGTGACAGTATTGTCTTTGACAGATTCTGGACAAGACCATATCTGTACAGTTGTTTCACCCAATTCACGAAGACGATGCAGAGTATATCAATATTAGTGCAATTTGTAGAGTTTGTTCTGGTTTGACATTGTTTCCTGCAGCTGGTGCACAGTATGGTGCTTGTTACGCACAGAAGCCTCCCGTCTCTGAAGGCACCTTGACAATGGAATGGATTTTAGCAACGATTTATGTACCCGACTGCCAGTAGTTCTATTTTATTGTGTCCATAATGACAGATTTAAGGTCGGAAAGTCCTGTTAAGTTTCCCTTGTTTGTATTTATTCAATTTAAGTTTTATATATTTTTAGTCACAAGTGGATACTGTGTCCTGGTGATATGTTTTTCTTATGAAAGACTGTTACACTAAAATTTTTGGCAGTCCCTGACCTCTTTTTAATCTGAGTCATTAAATATTGACAGACCTTGCCACATTTATTTTCTCTTGGTTAACCACGTCAGGCCAATTATTGAGTAAGGGATCTGAAATGGGTCCATGCTTGAGTGATTAAAGTTATTAGATAAGCAGCTGCCAATTTTACCAATAGATTGTTACATCGCTCCCCAAAGTAGACAATTAGAGAAGCTAACAGTCTGTTTGCATTTCTCTCAGCTTTAGTGGATATCACCTGCACTCTGTTGCTGCTCAACCCAGACTTTACCACTGCATGGAATGTCAGGTACAAACCAGCTACACACGACGACAGAAATTAATGACCATAAATGTCAGCAATTCATTGTCTATTCCTTTTTAAAAGTGAACAGCGTCTTCATGTAAAATAAGATGAAATACTCAATGCTGAACATAGCGAGATACTTCGGCTGCTTGCTGTAAGATCTCTGTGGATATGCATATGACCACTGCTCAACATGTACCAGTGGCCAAAGCATACTATGCTCACCTTAGCCTGTAGTCTGCTGTGTAGGTCTTTTGTAAAGTACAACTCATTGTTGTTGCAGAAAGGAATTGTTGCAGTGTGGAGTTCTTCACCCAGAGAAGGACCTCTACCTGGGCCAGCTGGCCCTTACCAAATTCCCCAAGAGCCCAGAGACGTGGATACACAGGTAAAAATGAATTAAAGGACACCTTGTTCTTCTGTAAACAATGTTACTTTTGCAAATCCACACTGACTATAATGTTTTAACCAACCTATACACAGTATACAACAAAAGTGAGTATACCCCTTTGGGATGCAGCCAAGGATGTTTTTGATAGTTGACCAATCTATCATTACTGAGTCAGATAATCAACTATGCGGCTTATGAATTGCACTGAATGTGAAACTGAATATTATTATTAAATGGCTCTACTTTAGCTTTTACATTGCTTGAGTTTATTTTTGACATGTGCTAACTAACAATAAAGACAGTAAAGATGCTGGTTGTGTACTTTCGTAATGGCCACGTATGTGTGTCTATGTCAAGTGTTGTTACAACACTGCAGTTTTTTGATGCCCAACAAATTTTGTTTAAAAAAATCTCAGTGACTGGGACCCCACAAAAACACTCTCATTCACACCCTGAATAGGAGGAAAACTGATAGAGAGCAGATAAACAGACTAAACCGCTAAAAAATATTTTTAGCATTTTTTTTAATTTTTTTTTAAGTCCAACGCAGCGGTCAGTCCAGTAGGCTACACCACTGTCTTGTTTTTTGAATACGGGGTGGGCTCGCAAGAGACTGATGGTATTCAGGTAGGCCTAGTAAGAACTCTCTGAGGATAAGGTTCTGGCCAGCTATGATTTATCAACCTGAAGCTGGGCTAAGGTTGTTGACTCGATGGAGTCAAGAATGGTTCATGCCACTAGTGAGCTTTACAACAATTGTATCTGTTTCAAGCCCAACTGTGTCACTGTAACTGTTGTTTAAAGGACCTCCTACTCTATGCTTCAGCCCGTTGGGGCTCAATTTAGGCCCAGCAAGGATTGCAGAACACTGTCAGAAGCCTTGTTTTTATTTTTTTTGGTTCATCAGTTTTCTTCCTGTTCCTCTAAGCTGTGATCAGACAGAAGATGCTCCAAGCTTTTATATTATCACATTAGGTAGTGTTACACAGTCAGGCAATGCCTTCATGGAACAGCATTCCAAGTTGACACGCACAAGATGATGTAACTCAGCAATAAACAATTAAATTCCAACCAATAAATTTGTTAGCAACTAATTTGGACATTGAATTTTATTTGTCACACCCCTAATCTTAAATCATTCAAAATTGTAACACCTTCTAATATTTGCATTATTTTTAAGCTGACAAGTAGAGTGTTTTATCTTATTTATAAATAAAAAAAGCCTTGTGTAAATAGTGTGTGTGTTGTAGCGTCCAGGTAGTCAAATGGTCATAGTAGTTTTATTCCAGCTGTAAAACAATGTTTCATGTAATATTACTCTCTCCACGTATTTTGTCTTACTATCATCTTGTCAGCCAGTATTTTGGTATATCCACAGGTGTTTATGGTACCATCTATAAATGTCATCTCCCCAGCACCTTTTGTTCTTGTCCATGACTACTGCAGCTCTAAGCAATTGTGATTGTAAAGTAACTTTGATTATTTCCGCAACTGTATTTGCACTAATTTTTAGTTGGCCACTAATCCTCCTATATTGTTTTCCATGTTCATAAAGACACAGAATCCATTTTGCAGTTCCTCTGGCACTTGTTTTCTATGTGGAACCATGAGGCAGCTAGGCAAAGTCCATAAAGCAGTAACTATACACTGGGTTATTGAAGTTATCTAACCGACCAGACAATGTCCTCCTGTAGACGCTGGGTGCTGCAGCAGATTCTGGATCAGTTCCTTGCTGTGGGCCACAACAAGAATCAGGAGCAGCAGGGTGAAGCAGAGCAGGCTAATGCAGAGAGGAGCCAACAGCTCAGTGACCATCTGGCCAGGACTCTCCACCAAGAGATGAGGGTATGCTCTGATGCTGCCTGCCGCTATCCCAGCAACTACAATGCCTGGTCCCATCGCATCTGGGTGCTGCAGCACATGGCCAAGGGCAATGGCAAAGTAAGTTTCTGCATGTACATAGTATCTGTATACAGACAATTTAATTCAGTTTTGCTTGTATGACACAATTTACAACATATGTCATCTCACAGCGCTTAATATAGTAAGGTGAGGACCTTACGAATTAACAAGACAAGCAAATGTTCCTATGAAGAATGTTAGAAAAATATTAACAACTCACAGAGAGGCACATTTTTACCAAATGTCTGAAGTCAGCCTTCATATAGCTGGTCAGATAGCTTGGGGAGTTTCAGTTTTTTGAGAAAAAAAAAGGATATACAGCGGGGAAAATAAGTATTGAACACGTCAACATTTCTCTCAAAAAACATATTTCTAATCGAGCTATTGACATGAAATTTTCACCAGATGTCGGCATCTACCCAAGTAATGC